CTTATCAAAAGTGCTTTATTTAAATAATAAAAATGAGGAATTTAGATAAAATGTTTATCACATTGCTCAGTAATTATTCATTGAATGTATTTCCTGATAACGTAAAATGTGCATTCACAAACATTGTAAATATCCCACAAGACATGAACGGTGATTGGGAAGTTGGTATTATCGACATGTATCTCAATAATTATATTAATCAAACTTCCAATAAAGAAATTCCTATACCTGAAGAAACTGAATCTGTTAGCTTAGTAAATGCTGAAACATGTAGATATAAAAATGTAAGCGTTGATTGAAAAACACCTGAAATGGGTTGATTTTTATTTATACTGACATAATTAAACCTATATCTGTAGGTTTGTAGGTTGTATTTAATTTAAAAATATTGAATATTATCCCTTAGATATATGGTCACCAAATGAAATCTCAATACTAGTCACTGATTCAAACGGATATAAGGATCCATTTGAAATGTCAACAGTTCCGATTTTTGTCACTTTACATTTCAGAAGGAGAAGGACGTGGTAACTTCTATAAATAATGCGGACTTACTTTACTAATAATAAAAACAGTCATCATGGTGAAATCTTATCATGAATATTATTTAAACCAAGCAACAGCGTAAACATAAACGAAAACGCATCATAAACGAAAAAGAACCATAAGAAAATTAAATATTAGCGACATTTTTTCTAAGACAAAATGAGCAATAATATCGAATGCATGAAGAGTGAACTGGATTTGTTTTCTCCACACACCATGCAAAGTTCCATTATAAGAACTGAAGATGTTTCATATGACCCAATTGCTTCTTTAGACGGAGCATCATCAATCAAATTTGTCTGTTTAGGGAATGGTGAAACATATCGAGACTTATCAAGCGTTTATTTACGACTTCTTGTGCAGCTTAGAAAAAGTGATAGCACCGGCATTGTAGAAAACGATGTCGGATTATTGAACAATATCTTACTCTCTATATTTAGAAGTTCCTCAGTTTATTTAAATCATATATTAGTATCGTATTTGCAAAAAGTTTTAAACTACAGAAGTGATCCCTCAGAAAATCACTTAGCCTCCCAAGGATATTTCCCAAATTATGGGCAAATAACGGCAGGCGAATATGTTTATCCAGATACAAATCTAAAGCTTAAAAATTTATTTTAAAATAGTAATAAGGTGGAACTTTTTGGAAAAATCCACGGCGATATTTTTAATCAACCAAAACTGCTAGTAAATAATGTTGATTTAAGAATTAATTTTAGTATTGAAAATACTGCATTTTATTTAATGGAAACTGGTACTGAGTAAAATTTAAAGATACTGGAAGCTCAACTTTTCATGAATCATATAACAGTTAACCCAAGCATTTTATTGGCTCACCATCGAGTTTTACAAACCAAAAATGCTATATACCCTTTCAATAAGGTTAAAGTAAAATCTTTTACAATATTCCCAGGAAATAATACATTATCTATAGACAATGCAGTTATTGGGCAGCTACCTTATTGTCTAGCCTGGTGTACTGCATGATTGATTCCATGATTGATATTAATAAGCATAGAAACATACTATTACTCCTTTAACATGAATACATTACAAATTAAATATTTACTATCAAAGCATACAAAAACACAATCGTTTTTTAAAGGAGTTCTCTCTTCGGACCAGTTACCTAAAACTATTAAAAAGTATCCTAATTACTGCGAGTACCGATCCTTCAGACAAGCCAGGAACTCATTGGACTGCCTTCTATTTTGATAGCCCTAAGTCAGCAGAATTTTTCGATTCATATGGTCAATATCCTCAGAAAAAGGAATTCATAATATTTTTAAGATTAAACGCACATAAACATTTTTTAATAAACAACAACTCTAAGGATATTTTTCTAATATATGTGGTCATTATTGCATGGTGTTCGGACTTTTTCAATGTAAAAATAAATCACTTAACTGCTCCCTGAAAAATTTTAAGAAAAACGACATTACTTATAATGATAAGCAAATACTTAAAATGTTTACGAAAAATTTAAAAAAACAAAAATAAAATTTTTTTATCATTAATTTAGTTTATTTAATGTTTCTGAGCAATACAATCTCTTGTTAAACTTATAATATTTAAGCATAATATTAAGTGCTATTAAGGGGTCTTCTAATATCGGCAGCATATGACACTGACATGTGTCTGGTCCAGATGTAGCATCTTCATCACTCCAAGGACAAAGTCTGTAGTGGAATCTAAGCTTTGAATGTATTAACTCCTTTTCTGCTTAGTCCGCGAGGATGTCTTTTAAATATTCAATCCTCCTGAAATGTTGCTCGAATAACATGTCTTCAAACTGCATGCTGAAAACTTTAACTTGTTTAGCGTGCATTTTTGTAAGACTTGTAACTTGTTAAGGTTGAACTAAGACTGGTTTTGGATTAAGAAATTCAATCTTTTATAAGGGGAATTTCTTATTTACTTCATTTATTTACTGCTAAATTCAATTTGAGCACATCTATATCTATTCGGATCTTTTCCTTTATATACCATATGAGAAATTCCATTCTCAGTCAATTTCTTAAATGGTGTCTTAGTAGAAAATTTTTTTACATAATTTTTAGGTAGAAATATCAAAATATCTTCATTTTCCCTATTGGCTTATAATCAAACCTAATACATAGATCTTCAATTTTCGTATAACCAATAACAGGCATCGATTCATTTAGGATCTCTAAAAAATCCTATGAGGAATAAGTAGATTAGGAAGGATTATATTACATAAAACAATGTTTATATATCATTTTTGATTGGTGAGAGATTGGAGTCGTGGTGTTCTAGTCACTAGTCGTTGAATACTAATTTGTTACATGAATTACATGGTCTTTTATACATGAAAGAATATACCTGTTTCACTCTTTCATGTACACATTATATTATATATATATATATATATATATATATATTATATATACAGGTGTACTACAACACAGATAGGGTATATAATATACAAAATTTCATTTAAACCCTTAAAAATAAATGTATTTTTAATAAAGAAATTCAGTTCAGTTTCACATCAAAATGGGCAAGTTTCATTGTGTGTTATGCTCGGAATCAAAATCTTTTACTACGCGCAACAGTCAAAAGTTCATACCTTAAAAGTACACAACTTTAGATATGCAAAATCAAAGTCCTTTTATTACTACTTTTATTTCTGTACTGATGTTCGGAAATTTTGGCTGCGAGACGATTTTAATATGCTCATGATATTGATGCACGATGCTGAATTAAAAAGTATAAATAAAACGAAAGAGAAATATCTAATAAAGAACAAGAACTTTAAATATTGAATTTATATAAGGTGTTTTTATTTCATAATGTTTTAAGACGAATATACAAATATTAGGAATCTAATCTCAAGAGAACATACATTAAAACACTATCCTGTCCGTCATCCATAAGTTGTTGTTATTTTGTCTGTGGTTCATTTTCAATTATCTCATTAAAAATGTGATCATCGTTTGGAAACAGGCTAGGCTCAGACTCCTCCAAATCAAACGTTTGAGCACACTGCATATTCTTATATTGCTCCTCGCTTTGTTCAAGCCGAATAAGTTTTGTTAGAACTTCCTGAGTATACATACCCATAAAAAAGTTTTCAAACCCTAAAGAATCCAATTCTGATGGACTGGTTTGAGTTGACGACAAGTGTGGTTAAAATACTTCTCGTAGGTATCGATCCACGGTGTCTTTATCGTTGAGATCCATTGCGCAGTAAGCAATTTGAATGGTGTCATTTATATAGTCTCTAGACTATGTTCACCTTATGTAGGGATAGGGAGTGCATACAGGTATGTTTTACTCCTAGAACCAATCGTATTAGATTTGAGAATACATAGGAGCCCCGGACGGCAGTCCGTGACCGTTATTTCCCACACACCTGTATTTACATTCGTGGAACCATTGGACATAGATCTAATCAAGTGAACATAGAAAGGGAAAATCTTTCTTAGACGGATATTGAGCACGAACTATCTTTATAATACTATTTATTACACTTGTAATCTTCTTGACTAGTCTTCCGACACACCGACACTTACTTTCACTGAACTCTCAGGCCTCATTATCATCATCCGTTAATTTGTTCGCCATCCTTGTCTTCCTTATCATTAAATACCAAATTTGTTATATATTTCATGGCGATCCTGCCATATATATATTTCATTTTATTTCCTATAAACTGTAGCAGGCTGGTAGTATTAAGAGTTACCAGATGTAACGGGTGGGTAGTACTTATTAAGAGTTACCATATGATTATGATTGAAGAAGTTATCGATAAGATACCATCCTTGGTATACCAGCTTTGGAGATGGACTAAGAGGAGAACGCATGTGAAAAAGCTAAAAAGCAAAGAATTAAAATAAAGAATACTACAAAATTATAATAAAGACTACTACAAATTCAGAAGTGGGATCAAGAACAGAAAAAATGGATATAGTTGGTGATAATTATGCAATGGCGGTATTAAAAAAATGGCTTGGCGAATTGGGTTTGTCCACAAAAGGCACAAAAGCTGAGTTGCTGGTGCGTCTTAATGCTGTACCAGCAGCAGAACGTGGAAATGCACCAAGAGTGGACAATTTGGAGGATGATCATCTGGTGGCGGAGACAAGACGCGTAATTCAATCGCAACAAGCTGAAATGTTTAAAGGAACAGAAGCGTTGGCAAATTTGTACAAAGAAATCGAGGCCGCTAAGAATGTTCTGGAACAATTACGCATGCATGGACGAAACCAAGAGTTAGAGGGAGACGACGATACATCATGCCAAGACGTAGAAGATGATGCTCAAGGAAATGCAAGTTGTGAAATTCAGCGAAATGTGGCAGCTAAAAAAAATTTTGGTGACTGGGCATCCATGGCGTTTTCATTGGCCAAAGAGATTTTAATGGAGTACGATGGAAATACACCAGTGCGAAATTGGATTGCTCAGTTTGACAATATTAGACAAATGCACAAGTTGAACGACATGCAGCGACAATTATTATGTATTGCAAAGCTTAAAGGAAAAGCGTTGCAGTGGCTGCATGCAGATCCGGTACGTGTGGTGAAGCCTATAAACCAAGTTTTGGATCAACTGAAGGAGGCGTTTGGTGGAAAACTTCCGAAAATTGAGCTACGTCGGAAATTTGCTGGACGAATGTGGATATCGGACGAAAATTTCAGCGTATACTTTGAGGACAAGTGCATGTTGGCTCGAGATTTGGATATGGACGACGATGAGTTATTAGATGGCATCATCGAGGGAATACCACATGAAAATCTACGCATCCAGGCAAAACTACAGTGCTTTGATAATCCGGCGAAGATGCGGCGAGCATTTGCAGATGTTGCCCTACCTAGGCAGAGTGGTTTGCTGATGAAGTCGGAAGCAGCGAAGGGCAGAGATATAAAAGAAAATTCTCGTTGCTTCAATTGCAACTCTAAGGGACATTGGGCACGAGATTGCAGTAAGCCAAAGAGGAAGCCGGGATCTTGCTACGGATGTGGTGACGAAGGGCATTTAATGGCGCAGTGCCCGAAGAGGAAGGTGAAGACGGAGGACAGCGGCGTAAACAATTTTGTAAGGTCATTAATAATTTATTTTAGTAATAGTAATAACGAATCTATAAGTTCAGAATGCCTCATAGACTCGGGCAGCCCTGTTTCGTTTATTAAACAAAAATGTATTCCAACAAATATTAAATTACACACACATGAAGTTTTATATTTTGGATTAAATGAAAGCCAATTAAATGTATTCGGAAAAATATTTTGTCACATTTTCAAGAACAGTAATAAAATTAATTTTGATTTAAAAGTGGTGCCTAACGAGTCTATGAGATGGAATATGGAACTTTATGGTATAAAATTATCTTTAAGTGAACTTGATGTGAATGGTAATGAGTGTACTGAAAGTCTATTAGATGGTAAAGACAACATAAGGCCAAACTTGGAGCAGGAAGGAATAAATGAAGTGGAGTTAGTGGAAGCAGCAGATCAATTGTTAGAAAATAGTGAAATGAATATGGATTGTGAAAATGTAGAAAACAAATTGGTTGATAAATCGTTAGCAGAAAATTGTTTGTTAGACAGGAAATTGTTAGATAATAGATTGTTAGATAATAGATTGTTAGATAATAGATTGTTAGATAATAGATTGTTAGATAATAGATTGTTAGCTAGTAAATTGTTAGATGAGAAGTCAAAAGAATTAGTTAGAGGAGTGTTAGAAGAAAATTTTCAAGGTAGCATGATGCAAATTAATACGAGGTGTGTTCAAAAAGTAAGGTGACTCTTCAAATTTCGCGAATTTCAAATTTTTCGATTATCGAAACCTTTTAGAAGTTATACGAGGTGTGTTCAAAAAGTAAGGTGACTTTTCAAATTTCAAATTTTTCAAATTTTTCGATTATCTTCAGTTTTGGGAACAAGAAAAGTCACATGGGGCCAAATCCGGTGAATATGGTGGCTGAGGCATTATTGTGGTGTTGTTTTTTGGCCAAAAAATCCAAATCCTTTGATCCATATTTTCGATAGCAAAAAATCGCCGAGCTCGCAAAACAACTTGTAACTTTACGCCTCTCACAACCAAACAAAAGAGGATGTTCCATTGAAACTTGGTACAGATGTTAGGGAAGAGTGTACCAATATAACAAAACAAAAAAATCGATAATCGAAAAATTTGAAATTCGCGAAATTTGAAGAGTCACCTTACTTTTTGAACACACCTCGTATAGTGGATTCTGAAAGAGAATATAAGATTGGGACACAAGTGGATTATGCATTAAGAGCAAAATTTATAAAAATGTTAGAAAGCACTTATATAAATGCAAAGAAGCACTTAGAAAGGATAGAAAATTTAATTTTGGTGAAAAGGAGCTTAATTGTTTTTTATGTTTAAAAGAAAAATTGTTACAAGCGCCTGTTTTGTCAATTAATGATCATAGAGATGACATTGAATTGCATTGTGATGCCAGTGCCTTGGGGTTTGGAGCGGTACTTTTTCAGAAAAAGGCAGATGAAAAATTTCATCCTATTTTTTATTTTTCGAAGCGCACATCAGAAACAGAAGCAAAGTACCATAGCTTTGAGTTAGAAACTTTAGCGATAATCTATGCTTTAAGAAGATTCAGAATATATTTACAGGGAAAGCGTTTTAAAATTATTACTGATTGTAACTCATTAGCTTTGACTTTAAATAAAATTGATTTAAATCCAAGGATAGCAAGGTGGGCGTTAGAGTTACAAGAATTTGATTATGAAATAGTTCATAGAGTTGGAAGCAGGATGCAGCACGTCGATGCTTTGTCGAGATGTTATAATACAATTATGATAACAGAAGCAAATAGTTTAGAAACAAATTTAGTAATTTGTCAGACGAAGGATATGAAAATACAAAATATTAGAAAATTGTTAGAAAAAGGTGAGCTGAAATTGTTTGAAATGAGAAATGGGGTAGTATATAGGAAAACGAATGATGGCAGGATATTATTTTATGTACCAGCAGCTATGGAGGATCATGTTATGTATAAGTATCATGATGAATTAGGACATATTGGTAGGGATAAAATGATTAGTGCAATGATGAAGACATATTGGTTTCCGAACATGAAAGTCAAATCATTAGGACATATAGAAAATTGTTTAAAGTGTATTGCGTTTTCATCCAATGCAGGCAAGGAATGTGGGGTATTACATAGCATACCCAAAGGTAATAAACCATTTGATATTATTCATATTGACCATTATGGACCAGTGGATAAGAGTAGATCAAAGAAATACATATTAGCAGTGGTAGATGGGTGTACGAAATTTTTACGATTATATGCGACAAAAACAACAAATAGTAAAGAAGTTGTTAGTGCATTAAAAGACTATTTTCGATCATATAGCAAACTGAGTTGCATAGTGTCAGATAGAGGTAGTGGTTTTACTTCGGGGGAATTTGAAAAGTTTTTAAGTGACGCAAATATAAAGCACATTAAAGTGGCCACGGATCGCCTCAAGCTAATGGACAGGTGGAGCGGGTTAACAGAAGTTTAGGGTCCTATGTTAAGCAAACTTACTGAGGCGAAAGAGGGACAGCATTGGGATAAGGTTATCGAACAAATTGAATACACATTGAATAATACAATACACCGAAGTACAAAACAATATCCAAGTACAATGTTGTTTGGGTTACAACAAAAAGGGGAAATAAGTGATGACCTAAAACAAAAGCTAGAAGAGGAAAATTGTGTAGATGTAAATTGTGAAAGAGATTTGGAAAAGATTAGAAAGGAAGCAGAACAAAATCAGGTATTAGCACAGTCAAAAAATGAGGAATATTATAATAGCAAAAGAAAAGATCCAAATAAATTCAAGACAGGAGACTATATTATGGTAAAAAATTTTGATAGCTCGGCAGGAGTAGCAAGAAAACTGTTACCAAAAAGTAAAGGTCCTTATGTTATTGATAAGATATTAAAAAACGTTAGGTATATGATCAAAGACATTGATGGCTTTCAGTTAGCTCGAAATCCTTACCAAGGCGTGTGGAGTGCGCAAAATATTAGACATTGGTTAAGAAAAACAAATTCATCTATTGATGTACGAGATAATGTTAACAGGAGATAGAGGGCTATCTCAAAATCAGGATGGCCGAGTTGTAGCAGGCTGGTAGTATTAAGAGTTACCAGATGTAACGGGTGGGTAGTACTTATTAAGAGTTACCATATGATTATGATTGAAGAAGTTATCGATAAGATACCATCCTTGGTATACCAGCTTTGGAGATGGACTAAGAGGAGAACGCATGTGAAAAGCTAAAAAGCAAAAGAATTAAAATAAAGAATACTAAAAAATTATAATAAAGACTACTACAATACCAAGTACAACAAATTTGTTATATATTTCAATTGGTTTGCAGAAAGACGTAACCCTTTGCTATCTCCTATCTATCTCGTTCGCCTGGGAACTCACCCCTACCCTCAAGTGTGCGCTCAAGTCTGGTTGTGCGTGCAGGTGCGAACTCACCCCTACCCTTAAGTGTGTGCTGATATCTGCTTGTGCGCGGAGGAAATTTATTTTTATGCGTTTTAATGAAAAGTTGCAGTTTTTAACTTACAATCGTATAAAGCATACCATTGGAAAGGGCTTATCATTGGGATAAGTGGCAACAGTACGTCTTCACCTTTGAATTGTCCAGTCAATATTGTTGTTTCGGTAACATTGTTCATCAGTTTCTTGACTAAGATCCTGGTTCCATTGCAAAGTCGAGGTGGATTTAAATTTAGAAGGATAATGATGAGTACGCCAATTTTCAATGTAAGAACGTGCAGTGGCAAGCCTGGCAAATCGAGAAATTAGTTGGATAGTTGACAACTTCGTCCTGATGGATTTGTATGTAGTCATCAACGTTTGGCCGCGAATATAGCACGCGTTTATTATTCTGGGCAATGTTTTGCACCAATTCGTATAAGCTTTCCATGATCTTACAGATAGATTCCCTAGATTCATCAATTTTCATTCGCCCATTTCCAATATCTATTCATTGATTTGTAAATATTTCAGCCGATGTATCAAATTTTTGTAAATGACGATGAATAGACGATGAATCAATTTGAGACATGCATTAAGTTAGCAGGAGTTGAACGTGGTATAATCGGCAGAGTTTGTCGAAGATAACCAGACAATAAAATGAGTTCTCCACCTAAAATCCGTACGTTCCATCTTATATCTCGCAGTGTACGATCAATCGCTTTCAATACCTTCTTGAGAGACATTGTGCATTTGTCCCTATACTAAAAATTGACACGTTTTGAGAACATTACCCAATTCAGAATTTTTGTTGACGTTACATATTGGATCTTCAGTGTTTGTAAATTCAATGGTAATTCCAGATGATGCAATGCAAAATGAGCGATAGAAGAAAAGTCTTGTCAGGGCGCATCTATGAAAAACAGTCCACCGCTTTGTTCTGTGTTTGTACGCATAATTCTGTCATACGCAGTGCGTTTTTAATTTTTTTTACGCGACTTTCGTTGCGTGACGTGCAACGCACCTCCCGCCCAACCGAGAATCGCTGCCTTTTATCGTACGGCTCGGAACACGGGATAGTACCGAGTGAATAATGTTAGAAACGACGAAATTATGTGTGTGCTAAGTGATTTAGTAAAGCAGTAAAGCTTTGGCTGCTTGAGGCAACATCCTCCCCCCCATAAAGTCCTTGAGGGGCAGCAGACACAGCCTAGACACCGCACGCCTTGACGTTCCAACAGCTGTCTTTAGTTCGGCAACACGGATCAGTTTTTACAGAACGATGGTACTTTTAGGTGATCGAAAGACCGCCCTCGTTGATCAAATGCTGCAGATGCCAGCCTCCGATAGCTCATCAATACGAACACGAGTCGAGCTCAACTCTCCGATGGACTTGTACTTAGAGATGGTTGTGCGTGCAGCACATTTTCTTCATAAGTAGCAAAATAATTTCCGAATTGAAAAATCCTTGGTAAACCGATAGATATTAACAGAAATAAGTTATACAAGGTCAAACGAAGGCAATGATAATATTATTATAGACGCCAAAGTGTTTCGCGGTTTGTGGGCGTTAGAGTGGGCCAGATGAAAATTCGTGGGAAGTTGCAGCGGCATCCCTAAAATTCGTGTTCTTAAGCCTAACTTTCTAGCTCTTTTAGTTCCTGAAATTTTTGGTTTTTCGGGTTTTGTGGGCG